TATATATATATAAATATTGATAGCGATTTTTCGATTTGCGCGCGGATACGAGAAAGAAAATTTTTAAACCGTCCCTGATTGTGCGACGCCCGATATTTTAATTATGGTCGATTACCGTAACCTTTTCTCCGATCCGTTTCTCCTGTAAATAGTCTTCACGCAAAGTGTAAATTCGTATTTGGAATTATGTGCGCCGAGGGGAACGCACTGTGAGCCAGTGATCGGGAAACCTCCGTTAATATAATTCAGGGATCAAAATCGATGCAATTTCGATGAGTTCCATTTTCGTTAGACGAGAGATAGTGAACCTCACGGCAATGTCGCATTTCCATCTGCGCGCGAATATAAGCGCGGAGAAAAACGATTTCCACATGTGTATCTACAGAAATTTGAACTTGTTGAAATTACACCGGTGTAATACCTGATGTAATCGGGATTCGCTGTGGTTGTAAAATTGAACACACACACACACACACACACACACACACATGTATGACATATATACATAAACACACGCAGCAACAGAAACGTATACAACATAAGACACAGGCAGGGTTCCTACGATATATTCCACCTGTTGTGATAAGTATCTAAACGAATAATTTTATTAAACAGAACGGTAGAGCTATGAAAAAAATATCGCCTCTCTCTCACATTATATATTACCTATCTATAGACGTCAATTAAGGAGAAGGTTCGCCTGGAATACCGTGTTTTATACGGATATTTGTGATCCGGGATCTCTTATTGTACAGCCGATCGTTTCGTAATCGCTGAATAATGATCGTTGAACCATACAATACACGTCGACCGAATTTCCTCCACTTAAGAACTGTATCGAGCTGATCTACATTGACGATCGTCGAGCTTGGTGTGAGGTAATGGGCAAACGTTCCTAGATTCAACGATATTCGGCGAGATCGACCAAAACGATCGAATAAAAAATGCGAATACGTTTAAATTGCGCTTTTTTTTTGTTACTATGGCGCCCATAAAGAGATAGCAACGGAGCAATGGAACGCGCATCGGCGCGGTGTGTTCACATAAAAAATATTAAAAATCCGAATTCCGCGCGGGGATTAAAATTAATTGTTGCGGTGGCTTCGCAAGAGGTCTCCCTATAAACAAATTGACACAGAAATAAAACATAGTATTCCGCTTTCAAAATAAAATCAACGAATGGATTCTTTGATGGAATTCGCCATTCGGACGGATCGAGAAGCGCGTCAGTTGATAAAATCTATTAATTCACATCTATATAACCGTCTGTACTGTCTTATAAAAATGAAACGAGGGATAAAATTCATGGAGCGAGAAAAGTCACCAATTAAAGATGCTTATTTTGTTATATTTTGCAAGTTTCTAAATTTTCTTACGTCAAAAAGAATGATACAACGTTATGAATTCTCTAAAAGTAGCAAGTTAAATATATCCACAACTTCCCTATGAAATTCTACGATTTACAAAAACGGAGATGCACGTTCGTGCATCTAAACATTTTTCACAGAAGAGCAACAATCATCGATTCACTGCCAATTTGCAAAAAGCTTTTTCTTTAAGCAATAAACCAGCAAACTGTGAGCAATACCAACGAGACAGTACTCAGGAGAAAAGCTTAAATCAAGTCATGCATGAATCATTTCCTACGGGTCCGATAAATTGCGCTTCGAGAGATCTTAACTTTAAAATCATCAGCTGGAAATGGAACGATAAAAAATAAAACAGTCAGCGAAACTTCGACACATCTCAGGGAAAAAAAGTACTCATGTTTCTAGTTCAATATTTTTAGACATTTATCGAACATTCGTTGCGATGCGCTTCACTTAGATAGGTAAGTATACGATTATTCTTTGTTTCTCAGGCAAAATTTATTTACGCGTAATGTATTTAAAAATTTATATATCAAAATATTGAGAAAATGCAAGAGAGCACTTATCAAACGTCTTATAGTGCGTATCCTGTCGTTGCGTGATGAAAAACGCGTAAAATTAATTGCTTACTTGTAACTTTTCACATCGCTCATCGTACTCACGTGATGCAACCTGCGTACAAGTATTTACGCGCGTCCCTCCTCGTGCCCTTTGTTCGAAAACGGTAAAGCTAGCGGCGTAATCACGAGGGACGATGCACCCACACAGCCCACATTCTGCATTCGCTGCACACGCAGTCGGCACACACGACGTATCCTGAGTAACGTAAGTAAGTACATGGCACTTCAATCAATGCATTCCCACGTCATCGCACTTCCGTCTCCCTTCTAATCCCTGATCTCTCCACTGACCTGATCTACCTTTTCATCCATAAATTCTCTCTTTCTCTTCTTTCTCTTATTTGGTTTTATTTCTCGCTTAGTACCCACTCGATATCCGTGCTCTACGTTTCGTCGCCAATTCTCGTCGCAATTCTCTTGTCTTGTTTCGATTGTGGATCGGACGAAATCGTTGATATCGAGATGAAACTGTTTAGCGTCTCTATCCGTTTCTCCGCGGTTGTTTTCTGCGAGATGCATCTCTCCACGATCGAGTTGTACAATCATCTATATCGGAGACGGATACACGGGAAATAGTGACAGATCTCTTGGATATTGAATGACTGAATATATTGTGGGACATTTCGATACCCAACAGATATCCGAGATGTGATCACTGGATGTTGCATCCGTAAGAATGAATTTGTAGGTAGGTATGTGGAAAATAATAAATTCTGATAAAATAAAATAAAGACTTATTAAACATTTATCTTTCAATTTCCTCTTTGTGGATTAAGAATTTTATGTATTTAACGGTAGTACCTTTTTAAATATACGTACACAGAAAACTATCCTTACAAACTATTGCTTTTATAAATAATTTATATATATAAAGAATTTTGTAATATAATAAAGATTTACAATAATATATCGAGACGATTGTAAAAGCGATATCAAGTCGTTCAAGCAGATTTTTGAAAGAAAGTTCGTAACATCGGATAAGCCTGATCCATTTCCAAGATTGCATCGCACCTAATGGCTTCGTGAAGTCGACTATACACAAAAATGTATTTCGATAGATATATCGCAGATATATTGGAGACCATCCGCAAACATTTTCGCAAGACTTTTGTTGTTCATAAACGGAGAGCGAAAAACTATCTGTGTATAACGCGTCGTGTTGTAAAAAAAAAAAAAACAAAAAGAAAAAGCAACCGTCTCGTTACGGAAAAATATCAAAATTGCACACAGATAGAGAAGTGTATGTATAAAATTCAAATATATCGGTTATTATCTAATGTTCCATACTGTTGAATACTGATTACGAGACTAATAGGAAAGCTTCTGTATATCTTCAACATTATCTTTCATATAATATCGATAAGCAGTGTGTGGTTTTCCCGAATAAATTAAACAGTCTAAATTTTAAATTATAATATGACATTTTATAATAATTAATAATAATTTCCACATGAAAGTAACATTAGAAAATAAGGATACGAATCTGAAGGTAGTAATATTATACTGGATCATTATTACTATCATTATTAATCCATTTATGGAAAACGGAAGAAA